ACATATGACCAGAGGTTTTCAATTAGCCTATAGGGAAGAAATTAATTCAAGAAGAAAAATACTACTATATACACTTAACGAATATAATACCCTCTTCAATTACATGATGATGAATTTGATGCTTGCTGAGAATATCAGTAGGGTAAAACCAGAAAACATTGCTTATCTCTCTAGAAATTGGTATCTCTCTAGAAAACAACTCGCTTAGTAAAACATTCCCTGCCTGCTAGTATTAGTTCAACAGAAAAAGAACCATCAGTATTTCAACAACTTGAGAACAAACAGATTGCCATACATTGTCCAACTTCCACACCCCTCTCCACCCAAAAGAAGGCTGACCCCAGCAGGGCAGCCAGGGTTCCTCTGGTGTCTAATACAGAGGGAAAGGTGAATCCATCAGAGCCTGCTGTTTCAGGACAGCTGACACAACACTGTCCCAGGTCTCTGAAGAACTCAATGTCTTGGCTTTGCTGCTGTTCTCACTGGCAAACACAGTACCTGCCTAGTTGCAAAGCTGATTTAGATCCTTAAAAACATCCTCTGGCAGCAGGACATCCTTCTACAATCACTTTGGATGCCTGCCAATATTTACTTTTTACATTCTGCTTACACAAAAAAAAGCAACCAGGAAGGATTAAATGAAACAGGTGCATTTGAGGAAGGAATGGCTTTACACTCTCCCTTTTGCAGTTCTGAGCTTTCAGACACTTGCTGAGAGCAGGCTTTGTTGATTTTATGGCACTTATCTTACACGATGATCCTGTTTAAATACAAACCCTCTCCTGAAAAGTGCAGTTAGGAATGCACGCATTCTGTTCCACCTCCCTTTGCAGACAAGGGAGCGTTCATAAGTAATCACCTTGTCAGAGTTGGGAATTTTACACCGTGGGAGACCATGTCCTGTATGGTGCTGACAAATTATTAACCTTTTTACCCCTCTTCCTGGCTTTCATCAGTTCAATCGAGAGCCTGCAATTCGTACCAGGAAATAACGTGGGCGCCAGGAGCCATGCATTAGTAAGGATCAATTTAAGACCAAAAGAATGAACTTCACGGCTAAAGTTCCCAACTTCGGCAGGACAAATGCCGCTGGTCTGAGGGAAGCGGCGAGGGCGGGCAGAGAAAGCCGGCGGATTCTCGGGGAAAGCTCCTACCACTGCCTCACCAACCCCTCCAGGCAGGGCGGCAGGGGCTCCCAGGGAGCGGGCCCTCCCGAGGCAGGGAGAGGGGAGGTTGGGGACGCGGCTGCGGGCGCGACCCAGAACGCGAAGCGCAGCCGAGCCCCCGAACCCGGCAGCGGCCCCGCAGGCCCAGCCGCCCTGGGCCGTCACCGCCGCCCGGCGACGTGGCACCGCGGCCAGTCCCGCCCTCCCTCCCGCCCTCCGCCCCTCCGGCCCGGGCAGCGCCGCCGCCTCACCTCGGCAGGCACCGGCAGGTTCTCGGCCGCCGCCTTCAGCTCCAGCACCGAGTCGGTCTGGCGGTCGCTGAGCGGCGCGGTGGGCTGCGGGCGGCGGTCCCAGAGGCTGAGGCGGTCGCGCACGTCCCTGCCCGCGGGCGGCGGCTCCGCGGGCGGCGGCTCCAGCATGCTGCCGGCGGCGGGACGGGCGGCCGGGCCGGGACGGGCCGGGAGCGGCGCCCGGAGCGCGGCGGAACGCCGGGAGCGGGGCGGCGCTTCCGGGGGAGGCTCGGAGCGCGCCGCGCCGCGTCGCGTGGCAGTGGCGTCACGGGCACGGGGCAGAGACGGGCGTCACGAGGGGCCGCCGGGCGGGTGGCGCCCCCTGGCGGTTGGGAGGATCCACGGGATCGCAGACTGGCCTGGAAAAGATCTCGGACCGTCCGGGCCAGCCTGTGACCTAACCCCAGCATGTCACCTAGACCAGAGCACTGAGTGCCACGTCCAGTCATTCCTTACATACCGCCAGGGACGGTGACTCCACCCTTCCTGAGAAGAAACTGCTCCTGATGTCCAACCTAAACCTCCTCTGGTGCAGCTTAAGGCTTTGGCCTCTTGTCCTGTCGCTGGTTTCCAGGGAGAAGAGACCAATCCCACCTGGCTGTACCCTCCTTTCAGGCAGTTTTAGAAGTGGTAAAGTCCCTCCTGAGCCTCCTTTTCCCCTGCTTGAACACCTCAAGCTCTCCCAGCCCCTCCTCACAGGACTTGTGCTTGAGACCCTTCCCCAGCTCCACTGCCCTTTCCTGGACACACTCCAGCACTTCAACATCCTTCCCAAACTGTGGGCCCAGAACTGGAAGGGCACTTGAAATTGTGAAATATAAAGCTGTGTTTTGTGTCAGGTACGGACAGCAACGTATTTGTGATTGTGATGTATGGAAACCAATAATGGGATAGTTATAAAGATGAATTCTAACAATTAACTGAGGAAGGTAAAGCATGGAAGAAGGCCTTTGAACCTATCTTTTGTTCGCAATTTACTTCTATACGCCTTAAGTTGATTTAGGAGTGTGAAATACAAAGCTGTGTTTCGTGTCAGGTACATAGAGGCAATGTGTGTATTTGTGATCGTGATATGTGTGGAGAGCGACAGTGGGACAGTTGCGAATTCTAATAACTGAGGAAAGTAAAGCATGGAAGAAGGCCTTTGAACCTGTCTTTTGTTTGCAATTAACCTTAGTTGATTTAGGAGCATCGGAATTAAAGTGTTAAGGATGTTGCTTTTTGCTTGTAGTTAATCCTTAAAGAGTTCTGCAGTAATAACCTTCTGAAGTATAATTTCAGAACATTGCTTGTATCCTTGAAACTATAGCATTGGAATATATATAAAGCAAATATGCTTATTTCACGCCTTAGTAAAGCAGAGAAAAAACAGCTTGAGAAAGGAAGATGAACATCAACTCCAGGATTTATAGTTTCAACCAAGGGAAGCTGGACATCACTGTTATGAGATTTATAGTCTTTGCAATTAAAAGGTGGACCCACATCTGGAGAGCTGGACTTTACCAGATTTAATTCGTCTTTCTTCTTGTCAGAAGCTGGACCCCCACCATCTGGGGATACTCTTTTTTTGGGATAGATCCTGAGAAAAACTAAATCACAGTAGTGTATAGAATTGTGACTTAAAAATTTGGAATAGAAACTGCTGATGAGTAAAAATTGGAATAGAAACTGTTGAGAAAGCTTATGAGTACCCCTATAAATACCTGTAAAGCCTCAACTATTGGTGTGCAGTTGGAGGGAAAACATCCTCCACTGTACCCAGTGCTGTATTGCTCATACTTTACCATATTAATTAATAAATTGATTCCTGCTTGAATATTGGCCTAATCAAGTTCTCATTTATAACAAAATGCAGCTTCACCAGTGCCAGGTACAGGCAGACAGTCCCTGCCCTGGTCCTGCTGGCTACACTGCTGCTGATACAGGCCAGGATGCCATTGGCCTTCTCGGGCACCTGGGCACACTGTGGCTCACGTTCAGCTGAGATACTGAACTCCTATTTCAATGTTTTGGTGCCTTTGGGACTTAGCAGTCAATTCCAGTCCATCTTGTCCAGTTATACCTCTGCAGCTTCCCCACAGATTAACTGGTACAGTGCAGTTACTGTCACTCCAAATTGGCAAGCTTCTCAAAGTATTTGAAACTTCAAAACTGAAAGCAGTTCTAAGTCATCACACTTTACATTTTAATGCTTTTAATAGGCTTGAAAAACATATACTTTTCTTACACAGCATAAAAAATATTTACACTTTTTATCAAAGCACAGAAACAGTTGTAAGGGGAAACACTGCACATCAGCATACCCCTATATATAGAAAATGTTTTACCTTAGGAAAGAAAGTGCCTTGTGCATTTAAAAATTCTATTTGTGAATTCAAAATTAGTAATTTTAAGTAATTACAGCAATTTTAATATCTCAATGAAACTTCTTTAAGTGGAATGCATGATTTTATGAAAAACGTGTAAAAGATTAACACAAGGCCACAAAAATCCAAAGCTATGGATCCTGCTTTGCTGCCCTCTGTAAACACAGAAGAGCCATCCTGCAATTTGCATCTCACATACTCCTTTTTCCTGGAATTCAACAACAGCACTTAAGAAGTGTGATATAACTGTTAACAGCCCTGAAGTTCTGATATACCTTTAAGCCTAAAGGTAATGTTTATAGGAGCTGTGGTTGATTTCTACATCAAGTGTTTCCTTGCATGTAACAGCAACTTGAGCATCTTAAGTATGTGAAAGTGTTCACTAGTTCTGGACTTGGGGTCTTTTTAAAGGAGGAAAGCAGTCTTTATAGGAGATTTACTTTTGGAGAGGTTGGCTCTTGTCACATAGACACCCCATGAGAGAGCCTGACTGCGCAGTGTGAAACAGCCAGTAACCAATAATTCTTCTCAAGGATGGAAGAGGCATGGAAAGTTTCTCTGCAAGATAAGCAGATGGGCATGAACTTGTTTGAACTTCATTCCTACTAGCAATTTCCATATGAATATGTTTAAGAAGCACTTATGCTGAAATCAAGAATTATACATGGAAGAAAAAAATCTTTCTTCAAGCTATGCAAAACTCTCAACTGTAGCAACCACACTTGCTAATGAAGCTGGATTATTCCCAGAAAATTATGCAGACATCTCAGGACTTAGAACACAGGAAAGCTTCAAAACCAAAAACAGATTTTATACTGCAGTAGTTATTTTGCCAACCTGAAAGCCAGCAAAGATGTCTTTTCACACTTCCAGTTAACTGGAAACTTTGAGCTATTACAATAAATCAAATTGTATACATTTCTGAAAGCAGGAAAAGCCCAACTCCTCAGTTCTGCTTATCTTCCCTTACAGAAATACTTTTCCTTTACAGAAATATTTTTCTTTTCCTTCCTTTATGGAAATCTATGGAAATAAAAAAAAAAACCTTTTCTTTAACTTGTATAAAACACTGTGCTTTGAGACTCAGATGCACAAAGTTGCATTGCAGATCTTTACATTCAAGAGCATTGAAACAGTTGACAGAAGGTATTCCACCATGTTTGGTTCAGTCTGAAAAACAGTGCACATCATCCTCTGACTCACGTGCACAAACCATGGTTACAGGAGCCAGTTCGCCTTGAAATCACTTCCAGGTTCTTCTCATTCAGTCTTGCAGTGACCTCTTCCTTTGACCAGCAGCTCAGACAATAAAGAGCAGACACTCAAGACAACTTGCACGTTGCTCTAAACTCAGACAGTACATTAACAGAATTCTGTACTCAGTTCAGCATGTCAGGCATCTAATTTCTTCAGCTGTTCATATGTCAGAAAGAACTGGCACAGCTGATTAAGGAAAACTCTTTCTTGTTCATGCAGTGAAAACTGGTCCCTTCACTACTCAAGGTTAGCTGCTTCTGTGTGCAACTGTGTTCCACTCCTTCCACTACAGGAGCACTCCTTGTTCCTTCCTTTGCCATGCTGCAGGTTGGCCACATTTTTACACAATACTAGGGAGAACAATGAAACTTGCTTAAAGGCTGGTGATACAAAATACTTTCCCATCCATCTTCCTCAGGATCTTAAACCCAGGACTAAGGAGGCAGTCCAGCAAAAGCTGCCATAAAAATACTGCAAAAGCCCTTAAGACTCTTAAATCACTTAGCTTTGATGGGCTAAGAAGGTTTGTTTATTGTAAAAAAATTTCTACCAACCCACTTCCCAGGGCTCTGATCAGCTGGCTCCTGAAACAAAGCTAAAACTATGAGACTAAGATAAACAAAAAGACTGCATCAGTAACTGCTAACAGTTTCCCCAGTTCTGGAAATAGCCCCCACTCCTCATTCACCTGGGTAACTTTGATTAAAAGTAGGCTCATAACAAAGAAAATGAAATTGGAAGAACAGAATATTATTTTGCAAGATCATATTTTAGTCCTGACTCTGTGTGAATCAAATTCAATCTAACTGGAAGCAGACTTAAAAAAAACCTGTCAACTGCACAATTTTCCATTCATAAAAAAAGGACTATCTGTGCTGATATGACACTTCCCACACTGAGTAATTCTGTAAAAAACAATACTTGCTGTTGTATGGCTAACTTAGTAGTTTTGCACACCTCTGGAAAGGATACAATGATATTCCAAGGACCAAGTCTTAACCAGTTTGGCCAAAAACCTTTATACAGAGCAAAAAAGCCTTCATTCTTCCATGTCTAGGGAAAAAAAACAAAAACATAAGAACACACTTATGTAATTCTTTTTTAGTGAAAAACCCAGACAGCATGTCAGCTAACAAGACTGTACCAGACAAGGAGGTGGCTTAGTCCTGGTAACCTTAATTTATATTTATTGTCTGACAGGATAAAGAAATACATTTCATTAGATCTAAACTTGCAGTTGACATTTGACAGCCTCTTGAAATTTGCTGCATGTAAACCTATAGCTAACATTTGGCAGTCCCTTGAAATATTTCAGTTTGCTTTCTGGACCTCAGATTTCCCTGGACAATGTGACTTGGACTGTTCAGTCAACAGCTGGACAGCAACAGCTTACTATCCATTCTTCTCCATGTACAAGGCCATCATGGTCCCACCTCATACCAAGTCAGAGACTTCAGAAACCAAATCAAAGTAATCAAAACCAGAGGCTGACCTTGCCTTTGGCTGTACTAAGCTTTCCATTATGCAGTAAGCAACATAGAAAACTGTTAGTCTGTCTCAGAACATCCTGTGCTTCAAGGACTGACCTATGAAATGCTAATTTCCTGTCAGCCTGACATAGGATAAAGTTGAGCAAGACAGGGCTGCTGAGAGCCTTCCTCTCCTCATCCAAGCACCCAAAGAAAGTAAGGGTCTGCAGCAGACACTAACTTCTTCCTGCCTTTCTCTCAAGACAGTAGATACTTTTCACACTTGAGTGCATTACTGACAGCATAGTCCTTTTAAATATTATGGCAAAAACATGTCTAAGTTACTAGGGAAAACAGAACAATTTTGAGCTCCACAGCAAAACCATTGCTTGGTGGCAGCAGTTTCTATTTATGATGATACATGAACTGCTTACCTGTAACAAGCAATCCAAAGTGCCCTTGTAGGCTGAGTGTCCCCCATGGTTTTGGCTTTTTTGATTCATCATACGTGTTCTTACAACATCAACAGGATTGGATGCAAGGGCTCCAGCTAACCCACAAAGAAAACTGGAACTAGTAAAAGAAGGGTTTAATGGAACCTGATCTACCACACAGATGTACAAGAACTTCCCCTTCCCAGGAAACACACAGTAATAATGACTGTTTAATGCTTTTACTAAAAAAATTAACTCAGCTAATGGATGTGAAAAGTTACTTTTCACTTACTATAAAAACATAATTTTGAAAATTTGCTATATAGCCCTTATATACATTATGCTTGGAAAGATGTTCACACCCCAGGGAATAATATTTGACTGTAAATTTCTTCCAGCCTCAATTTGCACAGTTGAATGATTCAGACCACCCACAAAACAAATTTCCATGTTTCAAAAGAAAGCTAAATTCAATTGCTGTATAAAATTAGCTTCCATGCTACCATCTGAGATGCTATTACACTAAAAATTATAAACACATCAGAAATATATGTATACATCTAGACAGATGATAAAAAATAAAAATACTCCTCTCCCCTGCAGCAAGAACTATCTAATACTGAGCTATACAACCAGGTACACAGACTTACAGGAAGTGAGTATATACTGTATCTCCCATATGTCCAGACAGAATTATGTGCTTCTTGGTAAGGTCATATACTGGCAGCTCTACTCCAACAACAATAGCAGCTCTCTGTGCTGTCAATGATACTCCCTGGCAAAAGAAAGGATATAGTTGAAGTTTAAAGTCAACCTTTGTGCACTGTTAGAAAAGCCAAGCTCTTACAATACAAAGCAAAACACCACAAATATGTTAAGAACATTGCAAATTCAAATAAGGCTAATTAGTACAAGTCTTAGATGTATGTGCTCCAAAACCACAAATTTGAAATAACATACATCACTTTTCCACACAGAATGGAAACTTCAGATCCTTTACGTTATTTACTATCTCTGCTTAACATCTGAATTCTACCTCTGCTCAACATATCTATTCTTGCATCAACAGTCAGCTAAAACCTCCAAACCAGTGTTCCTTTGCTGCTAGCTGAAAAACTGGTAAAGTAAGGAGGATGAACAGAAAACTGGAGATTAAGAAACTCTGTGAGAAAAGCACACTAATGGAAAAACATTCCTATTCTCCTGCTGCTCAAAACAATTGTCTATTTTGGCTCTTCAGTTATTATACAGTCATTGACTATAATTGGCCCAAGAGACAACCTGTAAAACTGAATATGAGAGTTCCTGAGCTAGAAGGGATGCTCAGCAGCTCCTTCACTTCCAAATGTTCCTTAGCTTATGTTTTAAAACAGACAGAGCATACAGATTGAGAGGTGTCAGGCAAAGGGTCGTTGAACTGTTCCTCGAGCCAGTCACCCTAATTGAGCCCTGCATTTGTCCTCCCTCTCCTAAGTGGCAGCTAATCCTCACATACAAGGCTGGCTGTAACCCTTCATCAAAAAGCACTGAGACACCAGCAGTGAAGCAGCCATGACAAATGACAGACATTACATCCTCCATATTTCAGCTGAGAACACTGTAGGAATACATGACATTCAATTGAACAAGGAAGTGTAGGTAAAGTGTAAGATACAGTTCAAAAAAACTTGCCTTCCATAATCCTTTAGTGCCTTCATTTTGGTAGATTTGTATGAAGTTGCCCATCATTCCTCCTTGAATTGTTCTACCTTGAGCTTGCATTCTGATCTGAGATTCATTAGAACATACAATTAAAAATAAATACAACCAAAAAAATAATAAAACTACATTCAGTTATCAAGATACAACTGCAAGTAGTAAAGTCAATTTCTCTAAGTATAAAAGCAAGAGCTGGCATTATCACAGCTATATAAGTGCAATCTTTTGCCTTAACTATCCCAATGCAGCTGCTAATTTTGAAGAAGTATGTGGTAGAATTCTTAGCTGCATTAAGTCACTTCTATTTCTGTATGGGTACACTGCTCCATTTAGATAAGACTGGCAGATGGGTTCTGCAGGATGTCCTTTGCAGTGTTCTCACAGAACATGTTGAAATGAAAGGTTAAACAGATTAATATTTCAGTCACTGAGAACCATGGTCTTCAACCCTGCAGATTTATAAGATCATCCTTAGGGACCTGTCAAGGTAACTTACATATACAGGTTGTCAACAAGTGACTTGGTAGGTGGATATAATTTTAGGAAGTAACTAATTGAAGCCACACTTGAAATACAAGCTTATGTTTGAAATGCCACTACATAACCACACTAGCACTATGAAAGACAAAGCTTTTTAGTAGCTTCAGGAAAACATAGAGAATTTTCTTGACTTCAGTAGGAGCAGCTTTGTAAGTCACAAGCTCCAGTTTTATAGGATAAACCCATCAACCCTTTCAAGTTACTGACTATGATTAAGCTAACAGATTCTTAAAGAGGTGGTTGTTTCACTAATTCACTTTAAATGACTGATGCTAGAATGCCATTTCCCTGGAACACAGGTTTGCAAAGCCTCTCTAGTGTTAAGGAATCATACAGTACAAGCAGCATTCCCTGGACCTCTTGCCTCTGAACTAATCTTCACCTATTTTGAGCTCTAGCAACATCCAAGTACAACAGTGTTACCAAGAAGTACAGATGAAATACAGAGTGTGGCTTCCAAACAAACACCACAGCATCAAAGTTATTCTCCCCCCACACTCAAAAATATGTGAGTCTAACTACCTCCCCAGCCTTCACCTTCCTCACACATACTTCCAAATTATTAGTATGGATCAGACGGAGGTTTCAAGAATTTAGGATGCTACTGATTCTTTAGAAGTTAAGAGATGAGAATAAGTAGGGTTACAAAACAAATCCTATATTCATCAGGAGACTGTTTTTGCTTCAGGAGAGAACAAAAACTAAGAAGACAAGCTCTACATAATTACCTTTAAGACATCTGTGGGGTTGGCAATAGATGACGAGATTACTCCCGAAAGAACGCCACACAGAACATTCATCATGAGGGTTTCATCTGTTTCACAAACAAAGATTTTAGCTGCAGATTTACAAAACTTAGGATGCATTAGGACAGGATGATGCCTCCCCTCATTTAACCAGAGAGTGCCACTTACAGAAGCCATGAAACCTGCTCTGATGAGTTACCCTTGCTGACTAACTTTGTTGTAGCTGGTGTAAGGAATGTCTTCTTGGTAGACTTGTTCAAATGCTACAGTAAGATAGCAACTGGAATTGGCTTCAAGCAAATCAGTCCTGAATTAAATAGAAAATGACCCCTCACCTTCTGGATGCTCAACAAACATTCTTTTTAAGCTCTGGTAAGTGCCTATTTTTATAGTTCCATATGAAGCTTGTCGTAGCATTGCAGGTGCAATCCTGTAAAAACAAGCAGAAAAAATGTTTATGCTCAAGATCTCAAAAACTCATCAGAAAATTCTTCCTAGTGCAGAGATATCTAGCAAAGAAAGGTTTGTTCATTTAAATCAACAATTTAAACTCATTATAAACAAAACAAGCTTTGGAGCTTTTTAGGTTTTGGTTTTTATTTTTTTTTAATAGAGCCTGCAAGAACATGAATGAATTGTGAAGTAATTTTTACTATTAGACCATGCTTCAACTTGTAATCTATAAAATAGCTGGCAGTCATGTCTGAAATGTAGTTCCCCCACCATCCTGCATGTTTTGAAGAAAAGCATGCTTGTTTATAGGCAAAGGTAAATCCAATTTTAATTCTGAGAGATGGAATAACTATAGCAGCCCTGTAGAAAATAACCTTGTGCTTAGGTATTTTGTTTCATGTAAGTTTTTCTGTTTGAGGGTTTTTTTTAAAACATGAGATGCTATGGCAATGTGCAGCACTGAAGGTATCAAAGCTGGGTCTTCCAACTTCCAGATTAAGGCTAGCCAAACGCCTTGCAATCCTGAAGCCCAAAAACTCACATACAATGAGCTTATACTTTTATGAATAGACTGTTAATAAGCCATTGCTGCAACTCAGTTACTCTTACCCAGAGTATAAGGCTTTCAACCCTTCTTCTCTGCATATTCTGACCAGTGCATGCATCATCCCACGGTAGCGGATCTCTTTGTATTTGGCATCATTAACTTGACCTTGAACCTGGAGACGCGTTTTGGTCAGATCAATGGGGAAAGTACCTTAAAGGAAAATCAGTGAGAAAATTAACAAAGTATCACCTAACCAAAGACAACAGAGAATATCATACAAGAAACAGCAACATTTATTATATATCATAATATATAAAAGTACTCCCATGGGAAAGAAGCTTTTCTTACCAAGACTTTCTTTTAAAAAAGTGATTCACATTCTATCACCTTGTTTCTGCTAAAGGCCTGACAGAGGCCCTGCCTACCTCCTGTGTTCACATTCACTAAATTTTCAGGCAAACAGCATTGCCTTGTTGTAAGCAGCCACGCTGAACAGGACTTTGCAATCCCAATCAAGCACTGAGTTTGCACACATATTCTACCAACCCCTTTGAAGAGGACATCACTGAAGGCAAATAAATTCTGTAGGACACAGATTCTGGCCTAGTATCTGAAACAGCAATAGCAGCAGTACTATTCCTGTTACTGCTTTCCTGTTGCCTACTGCTATGTTATGTTCAATTAATTTTCTCCATGCTCCCCTTATGAAAGGGTTCCGAAACTGTATCCATCCAGGAATACCTAACCTAAGAGTGGAAGGAGGAGTCAGGATTAACTACACCTGTTTAAATGAGGCTTACCAGACAAGCAAAGCTTTCATGAATTGTATGTCTCCCTTAAGCGTTTGGCATTATTGGCCATATTCAGTCAAGTCAAATAATGACATGTCTCAAACTCAAGTTTATACAAATTTCCTAAGTAGAAACCCTTCCTATCCCTGCAATCATTCAAAGTTGGATTGGACAACACTTTGAGCAACGTGATCTAATTGAAGATGAAAGCAGGGAGGTTGGACCAGATGACCTTCCAACCCAAACTACTCTATGAAAACAAAAAAAATAGTAGTTTTAAGTGTAATTTTATACTGCCTCTACTTTACTAGACGGACCTTTCATGCAAGCCCACCACATGCCCAACCATGTCCTGCTACAATGAAAACCCAGATTTCCTATATTTTCATATACATGCTTTCATATACACGTTTTCAAATACAACTCTACAAAAATGTTAATATTTAAGGTTTGCCTTTAGAAGCCTAAAACATCAGATGCACTGTCTCACTACAGCAATTATTCTGTGTTGCTCACTATTGAATTTAAGTGTTCAAATCTAAGCAATCACTTACATTCAAGAAAAGATTATTTAAACTGCAAAATAGATACTCAGTAAAGCTAAGAGAAAAATCTGCAAGTTAAGAGCATAACTAATCTACTGCAGCAAAGCAGAAGCTGTATCTACTTATGACCACTGTCTAGGAATAGATCAAACAAACACCAAATAATAAAATACAGAGACAAAATATGTATAGAAAACAAGACTCACCAGGAATGAGAGTTTACAGACACAAGTGTTCTGACATTGCAATAGAGATAAGAGAAACTCTTCAGTCAGTATTAAGTAAGAAACTCTATGCTGCAGACCACCATACACCACTGTGTCACTGGCAGCATGGAACCCTACTTGTTTTAGATGGAGACTATCCAAGTAAAGAAAATCATGTCAACAATTAAAGCAAACTCTTACCACATTCTGCAGTGATTGATGCTAAACCTCCGTAGATAAAGGGCTTCCAGTTCAGTGCTGGCATTATTGGTTCCTCTTTCTGTGAAAGAGGAAGATTTAACACTATTGTAAGTACATACCACAAATATTCATGCTAACACTTATTTAAAACTTTGTGCCTGGTCCATTTAAAATGGGCCTTCCAAACACGAGTAAAGACTAAAAAAAAGTAAGAGTAAAAAAAACCACATTTAATACACTTGACAATCAGAAGAAAGACAGGAATACCACAGAAAAGCATCTGGGGCAAATCAGTGCCTGCTGTGTGTTTGGGCCACCACTCTCCTCACCATGAAAGGTTAAAGCAGGTCATCTCCCAGGCATTATGTTTAGGAGCACTGCAGTGAATAGCCTCCAAGGATTTTTACTAAGCTGAACTAGTCTGACTACATCCTGCAGTCATTACAGAACTTCCTTTTTCCCAGTTACTAACATTATTTAGCATGAGCTAAGCTGGTACAGAAAATAAGGGTGCATACACCATTTTGCTTCCATTCAGACCTATTTCTGCAACCAGTGTTCACAATATTAATTCTTGCAAATTTACATGAAAATTGTGTCAATTATTGAATTTGACAAAGTAACCACAATTCGTAATTAACTATAGCATATGCTTTGCAAGATGCTGAAGTAATCCAATTGTATTAGAAAAGAGATAAGAACTTCAAAACCAAACTAGTTCAGCCAACACCAGATTGCTCTTCTCAAAAACAAGCATTTCTCTCAACATCTTGTTTTTCCCCTTCCTCACAATATAAATAGTTTTCATTCCCCATTTTCTATTATATCCCCCTAAACATTGCATTCTACAGTTATTTTTGGCAATTAATCTTATGGGAAAATTGTACTTGAAAATACTTCCCTTGGCACTTACACTCCCTGTTATTCTTCCCTGCTTTATCACCTGTAGCGCCTAACTGGAAAATATCACAAATACACCCATTACTTAGCCCTGCCTTTTGTACAGCTGAACCTTCTTTAGTCACTTCCTCTAGAGATGCCAACAACCCAGCACATAAGTGAATTTTCAGAGTTGCAGACACTCAGGAGGCCTGAAGACTTTCTGCAGCTCTAGTTTTCCCTTTATCATATTTACTTCATGATGAGTTACCTGGGTCTTCTGACACACGAGGAAAACAGCTAAAATCACAAAATTTCACATACTCAACACCTACATGCACAGAAATCCTTATTCTTTAGACTGCTGCAAAGAACATAATTAAAAAAAAAAAAAAAAGGAGAAGGCAACTAAGGTCACCCCACTATACTGCCAAAAGAGCGCAGTACAGAGGTCTGGACACACAGGCTTAGACCATGCCAGCTTTTCAATACAAAGGAGGCAGAGCCACATGGATATGACACTGTATCAGAGGGAGGCCAGTTCCAGCTCCAATTCCTCATAATCCTGTTTTGCCGTGATTAATGGCAGATCATTTAATTAACAGAGACAAAGCCAAACTCAGTTTGCCCACTGTCTGCTACACACCTGACCTTTACTCCCGAGAAACTCAGCAAAACTGACAGTTAAGCCCCTCAAACATACTAAAACAAGATTTCATCCATCACCAATACCACAACACATATAAAATAAAAATATAGATCCTTTTCCTGTTCATTTCATATTTCACTCTGCCTAGGCAATGGAGGATACTCATTTTTTATATGTAATTCTGAGCATGGTCAAATAAAGTTTTCAATTTGCACACAGATTTACAAACATTAGTTGAAGCCTTAATATATAAATACGATACTCTAATGAAAAATTTTATAGCACACTCTTCCTTTGACAGATCCCAAGGTAAAGGTCAAGGTTTGTAAATCTGAAAGGCTTTCAAGTCTCATCTCCTACCAGTATGCTAAACTAATCATATGAATCTTTCCATTTCTAACCTCCAGGCCCCTTCTTTAAGATTTCCATACTTTAGGAAGAAGTATGAAGAAGAAGAAAGAGATAAAGCAAAGAGGTAAATTTTTTTTCTCAGAAAAAAAAAATCAAAAAGACACACCATCCAGTAATTTCGCCCCATGATCTCAGGTGTCTCATTTCCCGCTTATATTCCAAATTCTTGGTTTGCTTCTTAGTCAGAACTTCTTCCCTATATCAATAAAAATAGTAAGTGTCTCCTCAGAACAATTCTGTATCAGCTGAGTGAGTGGCAAACTACTGAAAAAGAGAATCCAGCCATCATTATAGAAAAAATTAAGGTCTCCACTTTTACTAGAAAGATACTGCCTTTACAAAATACACGTTGCCATACCCTGAACATCAACAATGACAGAGGGGATATTCTACCCTAAAGAGGATTGGGCTAAATTAATACAGAGATTCATCCACACACTTTCTGCAGTGGTCAGAAGGGAATCCTCTTTCTTTTAACCACAGCATGACTGGACTAAACCCAAAAGCCCGAGTTCCATGAAAGAACGAATCACTTAAATAACTCGGCATTTCCCCGACGGGGAGCAGAATTGAAAAGTCCCACATACTATTACATGGTGGCCGAAAACATCGCTAGCGTATCAAGCACGCAGTACACTCGAGCTTATAGTAATTTTAACTATTTAAAGCGGATCCGGGTCTAGGGTGGCAACAGCTATACTACACGAGAAAAATAGTCTCCCACCCTCCGAGACCTGAGAGCAGCAGCCGCCACCTCCCCACTCACCACCGAGCCCTGCCATACCGGCCCCGCCGCTCCCAAATCCCGGCGCTGCTCCCCGCGGCCGCGGCGGCTTTTGGGGAACGCGGGGCCCCGCCCCAGGGCGGGCTGGCCCGAGGGGCCGAGCCAGGAGCGGGGTGTGGAAGGGGTGGGTGCGAAGCCGCAGTTGGTTTGAAGGGGGCGCCGAGCCGCTGTAGTTATCCGGGGAAAAGATTAACCACGCTGACCTTGCAGTCAGAGGGCTCCCCTCGCCGCTAGCCTTGGAGGGCTGCTGGAGTGGTGGGACAGCCGGCATTTTCCATTAGCATTCCTGCCCCAGGAGAATGGAGCGGCTGTGTCGGGTGTTTTAGCGCTCCCCGGTTAACGAGCAGGTCTCTCGGCCCTTAGAGTTTCTCCTCACCATTATTTATAAGGACACTGATTTTGCCCCTCGGTTTACGATCCTATGGGCACCAGCCACACTGCAGCAGTACCGGGGCTGAGCTTTCCTGAGGCAGCACAGGAACCTTTATCTACCTGCTGTGTGGAGGAACAGAAAGGAGCAGGATGGGCTTAAATAGCCACTTTGCTCTTTAAAATACCCTCTTCAATATTTTTGGCAGAACGGTTACACAGGTGATTCAGCAGTCGTAGTAGTATTACACAGTTCTGTGCCATTGTAACTATGTTTCTTTGCATTACCAGGGCAGAAATTATGGATTCACTATGTAGGCTTTACATGGCTTTGTTCACACACATCCAGTGCCTGTCCCGAAGGAAAGCGGCTACCCAAAAGGGCAGGTCTCAGCCGCTGTAAGGGTGGCAGTGACCCGTGCATGCAGACTGGACGAGAACCAGAAGTAGTCTGGTCCAGAGTCCAGGGCTTCCTGTGAAATAGTTTGGAATCAGGTCTTTTGCTGCCCCTAAAGGCAGAGTGTTGTGGTCACTCGGCGCTTTCTGTTTCTGACTGAAGCGCTGCCAGGGGTGCTTGTAGGGACGTACCCGCACTGTGCAGCCCTGCTGCCGCTGTCAGTCCGCTGCCTTGCAGGCTGATGGCATGCCTTACCCCGGAAAGGGCAACACATCCTGTGGGAATGCTCCCCGCGCCCATCTCAGGGCAAGGCTGGAGGCTGAGAACCTTTATTTAAGCTTACTGGCTGATGGAGAAAGAGGGTGACACCCGCTCAGCCTCATTAAGAAGCTGGATGTGGCTTTGCATGCAATCCTCGATAAAGCATAAGGAATCCAAAATTTGGGTTCTGGTATGCCACAAGTGCTTCATACAATGAAAATAGTTCTCTAAAGCAATCCCAGTCTATTACAGACTTCCCACAAATGTTCCATTTCAGTTGTTAAGGGATGGGTGGCCTACAAAGCTCCTGCTCTAATCACAATGTTGCAATGTTGTCTTTGCAGGTGGGCCTCATAGAACTTAGCTACAAAGTCCCACCTCAGAACTGGTATTCACATTCTAACCCCCTCCTGAAATTCCAATACCAGGCTAGTTCTTTACAGGTTTCACATCTACAGCAAGTATGATCTTACTTCAGATAAACTTTGAATGGCTCTTTTCTTTCTTTTTGCACAGAGATCATCTGGACTGATTCTAACATTGAGTGATTTTGCGCTTTGGTGCAGCTGCTTTGGATTTCTAACTTCTCAAATTTCTGCCTCCTTTTAAGAAGGACTTTAGTTCCACTCTGATCTTGAGTTGGGCAGTTCCTTTTGCAGGCAGATGGGTTTTATTACCTCTGATGAAAATCAGCTCCTGTTCACATGTTATATCTTGCACCCAATCACATTTCTTAGTTTCTTAACAACCTAGCTGCTAGTTCCCAATTGTGTACTTCTGAATAAAGAATAATTCCAGTTAACTTTTGTTACTACTGGTGACTTTTGCATGGGTCCTCTGAATAAAGTCTTCTGTTGTATTCTCAACCCAATTCATACTACGTATGAAGTGGTACGTAATGCTTTCGTCAACAGAGAGCAGACTACTTTTGGCAAGCTGCCTTGAACATGGCATCTGCATCATACCAGCACTGACTTAGGTGCTCAGCATCTTTCCACATGTGCTACTGATTACACAGTCTTACAACAGCTTTATCCAAGAGCCAGTTCTTTCCCAAGGGGCTGTGCAGGGCCACAGTTTAATTAATTAATTCCCAGACCCCCAAACGTACTGTTCCTAAATTTCTTCATGCATTTTTTGTCTCTTTTTTTTAAGCAAAAGAAGACAACCCTCAAACCATTTTTTCTGGGGACCTCTGCTTTGTGCATTCATTCCTGTTTTGCTACTTCCGCTGCGGCTTAAAATGGAAAATATTTCATTTCTGGTCTCTGCAGTGGTGAAGACAGGTCTGCCAAGTCTCCTACTGCTTAATGAATGGTTAGTGGAGAGACACAGCTGGCTACAGGTATTGTTCAAACTGCCCTGTCATTTTGTTGGCAGCTGTAACCACGGGAGAGGAACCTTTTTCCCTTGGAAACTTTCACAATTATTAGCTACATAACTGATTTGCATTTTTCATGTTCCATTGGCTGAGTGATGAAAGCAAGCCTAGGACATGGGAGTCAAAAGCTCCCTGCCCTGGCACAGCCTCCTCACCTTCAATTGTTTGTACTTTCTCTCTGAAGGGTATTTCACCTGACCCTCAATCACACAGCAGATGACTTTGTTGGGAAAGTAGACACTCAGTGTGCTATTGGCACATGTAAAACTGTAAGACATAATAAATTGTACTTCCATTGTGTTTGCCAGGGGCAAAACCTCAGCCTGGAGCGCCACATCCAGTTATGTGTGGTGCATTTCAGGAGAGCTGTACAGAAGAACTAGGAAAATAAGGCAAGGAATACAAAACACTATCTGCAATGAAAAACTGAAAGAAACAGTCTTAAAAATAGATTAATATAACATAATCTTCAAGACTGAAGTTATCCATAAAGAGAAATTTAATTCTCTGTTCTCCACCACTTATATTAGACATACAACAGACTTTTTAATGGTGTGGACAGTACTAGATGAGAATGACTGAGGAGTTTGCAGTACCTTCATCATCACCAACTTTTAAAAACTGTTAAGCAGCTGGTTTTGAGACATAATTACAATCTGGATTACCCGGACCAAGTATTGGGATGGACTCTCAAAGACCTCTCCAGCCCTTTTTGTCTGTAATTATTCAATGAAATTTCCTCCTCCAGCTGCTAGCATATGGTATATACAATGACAAGACAACTAAAGTTTCTAACTTAGTAACATAATCTACTGTGCAGAGACCAGGGCGAAAGGAAAGAGAAATCAAGAGTAACAGTAAATGTAATTTTATAGTCTTTTTTTAAACAAATATTTTTTTATAATCTGATTTGGACTCCAGCATTGGCAGGAGCCAAAGGTCTTTACTGTGTGATTGTTTTGTGGATATAAAAGGGCCATGTTATTTGTTTTTAATGGGTAAAAGGTGAAGGAACAGAGGGCAGTTCCAGGCTCTGAGTGGATGGGAGTCACACAGTATAAGGTCCCAGCAAAGCAGTTCTAGTAAATGTAAACCAAACAAAATTTTCTGAAAGTGTTGCAATCTTGTAGCAGGTCCTGGGAAATTGATTTGTCTTCTTTTCTGGGATCCCAAACAGAGATAATAACTCCTATGTACATGACAGCATTGAGGTTGACGTTGTTTGAATGAGCAAATGAAAAGCTGCTAAAGTTGCTCAGATAGGAAGGCACCATAGGAGGCTTTTCACTACTACAAAATACCTTCCAACCTCAAAGGGTGATCCTCCAGGTCCTTGCTAAATAAAGATCAGTCACAGTTGCTTCACAGAGGCTTTTGTCCAACATTGCACTGCACTAAACAAGTAGCAAGTAGAAGGAACAATGCCAATTTAAATGCTGGTAGATGCAACACAAAGAAGAGCAAATATTTTTCTATGTCCTACTAAAAATCAGACAGAATATGGTGTAAGATACAGCCTAACCTTTCCCACAAGGGAGATGATTCAATGTTGAATGAATGACAGAGAGGCTGACAGGACACCAAATAACATCTCACACATGGTATGTTTTCTGCCACTTCCAGTACACCCCTTGCTGGCAGTACTCGATATCCAGGGGGAGCATATATTTGTGGAACTGCCTGCTGGGAGAGATACATATTTGCACTATCCTGTGAAAGCAGAGCTGCAGTTGAAGTAGTCCTACAGTAAAAGAAACATGACTCAAACCAGACAATGGTCAGGGAGATGTACTGGCAGGTGACCCCAAGCCATGTTCTTCGCAACGCAGGATTTAGGTTGATCAGAATCCAGAACTGCCTACATAGCAAAATTTCAAGCTTTCAGTGCTATTACTACGTAAAGGAACCTCACTATTCTCTTTCCAGATTCTCAAGTTTTGATGGTTTTCCTCTAGTGTTTACAGAATGCTTTGCATTAAATCATTACCCAAATAATACAGCTTTTCTTCTGGTTACTCCAGTCTGGCTTTGGGTAACCTAACTTTTGCTATCAGCATCCTAATACTACATCCTTCCTTTTAAATTTAAAAATGTACTTTATAAAATTTTGTCAAATTAAGCATTTAAGTAACCTTTTTTTTTTTTTTTATAAAAAGTTCTGAAAGAGCAGGATGCTTTCTGAAGAAGTATTCTCCTGCTTTGCAGCCCTGCTGATCCACAGGATGACAACATCAGAACTAACACAGTGTTTGGCTGACATGAGCTGATTGCTGTTAACCTTCAGCAAGACAGGTTATTCTGCACAGCAGGGAAAAACAGCTGCAGGATTTTGTCCTTGTGGTAGTTGTCTGTCACAACAACCACATCCTGAACAAGCCACTCAGGACCTTTAATGTGCAGTAGGGTTCCTTGCTGATGCAGCAAAGCAGCAGTCATGGGTAGGAACTCACATCTCCACTGCTCCTAGTAACAAAGGCTGGCAGAGTGGGAGAACAATTGCCTTCCAGAGGCTGAAGCAGCACAGGTGACAGTGATAGACATCTTGGGTTTCCATGAAACATGGCATCTGACATGCTCATGTCCCTCCATTTCCCAGAGTTATTCTTCCCTACACTTGGTTCAGTGGATGTCAGCTTCTGGACATGCTCACGCCTTAGAA